TGATTATTAGCTTCTCCAGAGTTGAGTGTCGGAAGATAGGATTAGTTTTCATTTTTCTTTTAATTTCAAAGGAGATGTAAATTGCCAAATTGGTATGATAAGGCAAATAAATTAGAAAGTGAAAATAAGAGGGGTAAATAGGTAATTTCATCACCTCTTAACAGTGATTTAACGGAAACTTTGGCAGTGTGGCATACTTGTTACTTGTCATGATTAAAGGATATATTAACTTTGTGCAAAAATATTATAGAGCGGTATTTTTGTTAACCTGTAATAATACATGGAATTTTTTTTTTGACTACATTGCCTATAAAATATAAGAGATATTTTGTTCTGTTCTGTTAGTTACCTGGGAGAGTGAGATCAGAAAGCCGCGGTAATTGGCGGGTGCGATTTCCGCAACGTAGATTGGGCCCGCGGTGAGCCCAAATCCGAAGCTGAGGCCCGTCAAAACGCGGCCCGTCATCAGAGCCTCGTAGGTGGGGCCGACGCAGGTCAGCACGACTCCGGCGACGTGGAGGCATAATCCTAGTACGATCATGCCCCACCTCCCGGAGTAATTGAGGACGAGACCGGAGACTATCGCGCCGAAAACAGATGCTCGACCAGCGACGTTGACCACCTCCGTATGCTGGTGACTGGTGAGGTCGAAATCCCGGCGGATCGTGGCTGCACTCAGCGGGATCGCCACATCTGCACATTGCAATTAACCACGTAATTGTCAAAATAATAATAATAATAATAATAATAATAATAATAATAATAAAGTCAGCAATCATTGAAAACATGCTAAAGAGACAGAAACGAACGAGAGTTAGTTACGACGACGTACCGCAGCCAAGGTGGAAGAACGAGAGCAGGGCTACTAACGAGACCAGTAAAACGTACTTTGGAGGTAACATTCTGTATTCTACTGGTGCAACAGTGGTAAGCGGCGGCGGAAGCCAAGCGGCCTACAAAAACACCGACGTCCTCCGCCTGCTGCCGGACTGCGGCCAACTCGATCCCTTGCTTCTCAAGCACCCCACGTGCCCTGTCTACAGAACGTCGACGTTTCCGTCTCCTCTCTGCACGCCTCTCGCCGAGGTCGTCCGGCCGCTTGCCAGCTGGCCGCGCGGATAACACGGAGATCGCTCCTTAACGCCTGAGCGGCTCCAGTTTAGTGTGGGAAAATTGGTATAGAGTTAGTTGCGGTTCTCAGACTAATGAAGTAATTAATTGCTCCGACTGGAATTTTTTGGACCACCATCTTTAGGAGGAAAAATATTGTGTATAGATAAATTATCATGCTGCTTAATTAGAAACGTGGACCAAATGGGCTACATGCCATATTGCCATGCAATAATTTTGGGTACCATTTGGGGGAATCAGGACGCGCTAAATTTTTTTAACTTTTCGAATAGGGGTGGTTTAGACAGAGAATAGGAGTTTATATTTTTATAGACAATCCAAAGATTTTAACTTTTTGAATTGTTGAAAGCAGATTTTAATTTTTTTTTGGAGAGATTTTAACATTGTTATATGAACCGAACCGGATCAACGGTTGGGCCAGTAGAACCACCAAACCAGTTACAATAGCGGTTCGGTTTAGTGGTTGAAGGGTTATTAATGGACCAAACGGGTTTTCACGGTTCAACATAAAATCAGATGAACCACCACGGTTTAACTGGTCTATTGGTTCACTATTTTAACCATAATTAAAAAAAAAACTTTAACGTAAACTAAGATCATCAAGCCTTTATTATTAATTTTATATATGCTTCCTCTTCTCATTTTCCAACCTTGTTGTCATTTTTACGAGGTCCACTACCAACCGGCACCATAATTTTAACTTGAATCAAAAAAATTATGATTTCTTTTGTGATATGGTTAGAATGATTTATTATATATTTTGGTGATGATATGAATTTAAAATTGTTTATGATCAATAATAACTTCATTTTTAAATTAGTGTAATATAGAAGTCTTGTATGTAATATATATGAACGGTTCTATCAACGGTTTACCAACGATTTTTGTAACGGTTAACCACTGAACCCTAAACCATTAACTTTTCCAGTTCAGCCTCCGGTCCGGTTCTAAAAACAGAGGACTTTAAAAGATTTATTGTTTAGTAACTTGGATTCTTAACATTCAATGAATTAATATAATTTTTTATATCAAATAACATCTTTATCCTAAACTAAGGGGTCGTTTGGAGGTTGAGATTTGAAGTGAGGTATTTAGCAAATACATGTAATGATAAGATTAAGTCGTTTTTTTTGTTCACTTTGAGTTAGAATGCATGCATTACCTTTTTGTTGGGCCCACCTACAATCACTCAAAATGAATGATTATAAATCTCTACTAAAAGGTGAGATTGTTAATGAGGGATTGTCTACCCAACTTTTTGTTTCATCATTGCTCTTCCAAACAAAGTATTTTCCTAATACATGCATTGAATCAATACATCAAATGATAATACACTAATTGACCTAATACATCAATTTGAAGAATCACAAGTTCCAAACGACCCCTAAGACAATTATAGTGGCTATAGAGATATTAATAATTTATTGATCAGGGTTTGGTGGAAAAAAAGAAAGAGATAGAGTAAGAGAAAAAGAAAAAGAAAAATCTGTAAATGAATAATAAACTCTCTCTGTTATGAGATTTTTGTATATATTTAAAATAGTCTTGTAACTTTAATTAAGTGTGAGTAGTAGAAGTAAAGTTAGAGGTTTTGTTCTTACCTCAAATGGTCTAGAGCAATGTTGTCAAAACCGAACTGAACATTAACCCGGATCAAGGAGAGGTTCAAGGTTTATCGAATAATCGGTAGTTAATCGATATTAACAACCGGTCATAAACCGGTTGTCCTAATTGATAGAGCTACAATTGCAAAGTATAAAATAATTATTGTTTTGCTCTATTTATGAAAATATTTTCACTCTAGTCTGTCCATATATAATAGAAGAAAAAGGAATAGAAAGACAATCACAAATCGCCAATATTGAAAATATAAGTTACAGCAGTGAAATGAGAACATGATAATTATTTTCCTTTTCTAATTTTTACCGTAATCACTTTCTTTTTTCTTATATGTTGCTTTGTTCTTTATTTTTAATATTTAATGGAAAGAAAGCTAAAAATCAGACATTTATTTATTTTTCTTATTGAAAAATTATAGGGAATTGAACAAAACCACCAGTTCGGTTTGTCCGGTTTTGCCGGTCGAACCGGTCGTTACCCGGCCGACAAATTCCCTTCTCGTTTTAGGCGTCCGGAACCGAATTAGTGACCGTGTCCGATTTTACCGGTCTGACCGGCCGGCCCGGTCCGGTTTTAATAACAATGGTCTAGAGGAAAGATTAGGGATTTTGATAACCATTTTTTCCGTCTCATTGCATCTGCATTCAGCGTGGACAAGCAGATGTGCACATTATTCATTCTCTTTCCTCCCCACAATCGCCAACTGATACCAGGCTCCTCGCTCGCTTTTCTCCTTATTTCTTCACACACACCTCCAATCTCAAGGATTGAAATTGCTTCTCGATTACGGTTAATTGAATCATAACTTGTGATTTGAGATTGGAAGAAGACGAAACACAAAGAATCATATAGCTTCAGATTACGGCCAATTGAACAAATCAGGTACTCAAAAGAGTACAAATATAAAATATTATAACTATTCATAATGTTTCTGTTGGGTCAGGGAGTTCAACCCACCCTGCGAACTGATTCTCTGTTACAATTCGTCAACAGCCTTGGATTTTTCATTTGATAAGATGGGAGTAAATGCTCATCATAGATGAATAAACGTGAAACTATAGTAAGATATTCTTGCATTCATCTCAGACAACCTTAAGCCGAAAATAGCAAATCGAAAGGGGCCCTCTTAATCTTGCACAGCTCGTTGAACATGACGTACCAATTACCATATCGAGAAATTTGCTTGTTGTATATATGAACAAATCTGCGAATATAAGAGAGGTCCCCGGCCGTTAAGGCTCAGCATCAGTACTTCTTCTTCAAAGGTTAGGAGGAAACTATCACATGTCTCTTCAAAGTAATACGACCCATTTATAGTAATATGCTTTTCTTACAAACATAACATGCATGATTAGTGTAATCTTAATAAAGAATCACAATTTTTTTTTTGTTATACTGTGACTTGATATATGATTATATGTCATCGTCTGGAAGTCACTGGGATCTTGCCGCCCGCCTTGCGAGTCAGAATATACGGGTGAAGCACCCGGTTCTGTATGATTTTATGTTATGTGTTGATTTTATGTCATTTTGCTTTTCATAATGGACTATAGTTTTGACCGTTTAGAGAATGTGCACGCTTATATATACTTACTAGAATTCTCTGTGATCTGTATCCTCGTTAAATACAGTGAAACTTGACTCTCCTCCTCGATGAGTAGCTAACACACATTGTGTTAGTGAACCATTTAAATTCGTATTCGTATGTTGTTTACTTTCTTAATGCAGTCCTCTAATGTTTTATCTGCCCTCACATGTTGAAGCTCTCAAATCACTGTCGATAGCATCATAACAACCATCATCATCATCAGTATCTTGCTTGAACGCTCCCCTCCTGCCATAGTTTTCTTTGGATATTTCTCAATATTTTAGGGTTAATTGCAGGATAGTCACTGGGGTTACTAAAATCGTTCATGTTTGGTCACTGCAAATATTTAATTCCATTTATAGTCACTAAGATTAGTTCAATAGTTCAAGTTTGGTCACTCTCCGTTAGTCTCTGTTAGTTTTTGCTGATGTGGCAGTCAACTATTATAGTTGACCGTTAAATGAGTGACGTGGCCATTAAAAAAAAATAAAAAAATAAAATTTAAATATTTACAATTTCCACCTCATTTTACAACTATTAAAAAATAAAAATAAAACTTACCTCCGCCATCTACGCCACCGTGGCCATGACGCGATCGTCCCTGCCGCCGCTCCTTCCTCTACGCCGGCCTCGCTTTGCTTCATTCTCTACCGGATTCCGATTGGCCATCTTATACTTCTCCCTAGCGATAATTTCCCTCGGTTCCGGCTCCGGCTCCCTTTTGCCATGCTCCCTGGCATTCGGCGCAGACCAACTCCACAACAAAGACAACCCTAACGACAAGGCCTTGCAAGGCTTCTTCAACTGGTACTACGTTGGCAGCGGGTCGGCCACGCTGCTGGGACTCACCCTGCTCGTCTACGCTCAGGACGCCTACGGGTGGGAGATAGGGCTCGGCGTCCCCGCTTTCCTCATCCTGTTCTCCACGCTGCTATTCCTGCTTCCTTCTTCGTCTTACGTGAAGCACGAGCCGGAGAGCAGCTTGCTCGTCGGGTGCTTTCGCGTTGTGGTGGCTGCGGTCAGGAAGGTTGCTGCTAGGGTCGAGATTGATGATGAGTTTGTGAATTTGGTTGGTGCTGATGGTGGTGGCGGCCGGTTTTTCCATGGTCGTGTTGGGTTCGACGATGGCTTCGTTATGATGAGCTACCCAACTCATAACTTTAGGTAGTTGTTTCATTCTTCATCATGCACTTCGTTCACTTGAATCTCTTATTTGGAATGAACAATGCTTGCAGGTGACTGAACAGAGCTTGCTTCATAGCCAATCCAGAGACGGACATAAACCCTGCAGACGGTTCAGCGACGGACCCTTGGAACCTCTGCACCATGGAAGAAGTAGAAGCTGTGAAATCAATCCTTCGAGTATTACCCATCTGGTCAACTGGGATCCTGTTCAATGTCAGCGTAACTCAGTACTCTCTCATCACGCTCCAAGCAGAAACTATGAACCGACGCATCTTCCCGAACTCGAGCTTTCAAATCCCATCTGGCTCCCTCAACAGCTTCAGTCTCGTAAGCTACACCCTCAGCATCATAACATACTGCAATTGTACTGCCTTCCATCGAAATTTTGTTTTATATTCTTAGCCAGGTATGTTGCGGGGAGAGTAGTTGTTTATTTACTACATTTATTTAGCTCAACTGGTTACCTGTGTACGTAGATATACATTATTATTTGGTTTCTGCGTGTACTTACATAGATTTTAATGCTGATGAGTGTATGTAAGTGGAGGTGTTGAACCCTTTATCTCGACAATACTAATATATATGATGAAGAAATCCAGTCGATACCCAGACCCAGACCAAGACCCAGCAGCAAGTAAAGTAACGTTTGCCAGGTACGTCTGCCATCTTTTTTTGTTTTTTGCTTTGGCAAGTGAATATAGCATTGGAACTTCAGCTTAAAAGGAACGTTTCTTTCTTATTTGTGAAATAATGTTTCCACATCAGCTGCCTGCCATGCTATATCTTTACAAAGAGAACAATGACAAGCGTATAAATGAACAGAAGCATGATTTCACTTGTAATGCTGAGAATGTAAAACTGAGAAATAGGGAAGATAAACAACAAATGAACAACAACCGGAACAAAGTCGCGAGGGATCCATCCATCCCTATTTCTCAGCAACGGAATGTGATAATTTTGCTCTTCATGTGCAGTTTGATCAGTTCAAAGCTAGACGTCACTGACCATATGCATTAGGGGCAAAAATGAAGTGGGATGAAGCAAAGCGAGGCCGGCGTTGAGGAAGGAGCGGCGGCGGAGACGATCGCGTCATGGCCACGGTGGCGTAGATGGCGGAGGTAAGTTTTATTTTTATTTTTTAATAGTTGTAAAATGAGGTGGAAATTGTAAATATTTAAATTTTATTTTTTTATTATTTTTAATTGCCACGTCACTCATTTAACGGTCAACTATAATAGTTGACTGCCACATCAGCAAAAACTAACGGAGAGTGACCAAACTTGAACTATTGAACTAATCTTAGTGACCATGAATGAAATTAAATATTTGCAGTGACCAAACATGAACGGTTTTAGTAAACCCAGTGACCATCCTTACAATTAACCCCAATATTTTATGGTGACTATTATGTATTATCTCAATCACCGGATAGCGAGTTTTTTTGTGTTCATCTCAACTTCTCGGGTTTTTTTTTTGGGTAACTTCTCGGTTTTAAATGTGCATCAATTGTCAAAAAATTAACAGAATATTTGCAACATTTCTATGAATTTGAAAAATTACAAAAAGAATGTACGCGTTTTAAGGATCAATAAACTATACTTTTATAATGAGACTTTTCCCTTTAATTTCACTTACTTTAGAGATATAGAAAATAAAGCATTTGAGATTTTCTTACTATAGTTTGTTTTTATTCAATTATGGTGAGCATTTAATCCCACCTTATCACATAAAAAATTAAAATAAAATTGCCATAAAAAATTAAAATAAAATTGCCAACGAATTGTAACGTAGAATCAATTGGCAGGGCGGCCACTGGCAACTCACATTGTCATTAGTTATAATATTTTACATTCTACTGGCTAGGATAAACAATAGTTGTTTGCCTCTGCTGCAAGTGCAAACCTTCCTATGTTTCATTTTTTTTTTAAAACTTTCTAAAATCTTCCTAATACTAATAATACAATGTATCACCATTATTAAAAAATTGGTGCAAGGAGATCACTAGAATCAGTGCCGGTTAGCGCATCATCAACGACGAGCACCCTCCTGTCATCGTTCCCCATTTCGCCTCCAGCTCCCTGCTCCCATCGCTCGACTGCCACCATCGATCCTAGCCCTCTCAGCGCCTTCAAACTTGAGCTATCCCCTGCCATTTTCAGTGCCCGCCATCGAATTCCAGCACCACTCTTATCCTCCTTCCGGGACAGAGTCAGTCCCCTGCCAACTGGGACATGCAATCCTCAACTCCCCTGTCTCTCATCTCTGCCATTTCAGATCTGCATCCTTGCTCGGATTCTTCCCTGGATAATCCCTTTCGCTTTCTTATTGTTCTTTCTCTCTTTAGATATCTTAGTTGATGCTATGGTTTGGCTTCTAGCTATGTCAATGCCTCAATTAGGAATTCTCTTTGGGGTCCTATGGGGTCTGCTGGGATTCGATTTATTGATCTCTATTTTCATTAAATCTGAGTTCTTGATGCGTGTTTCCTCTGCTTTTGTTGCATGTTTTAGTATGGTAACATAGGGGTTTCTCTATCAAGGTGTATTCGATTTATATTACGTTGGATTTTTCTGCTTCTTGTTTTGGCTCCCTCGCATGTACTGCTAATTGTTCTATGCCCTCTCTGCTATTTTTTCTAGATTCTTGGTTTCCTTTGGACCTGCTTTGTTTCTTTGCGTACCTCTGTTTTGCAAGTGAAGAAGAAAGAAGGCGGCGGTGATCCTGAGTAACGGCGGTTGGGGAAGATCGGCAGATCCGGCCTCGACGTTTCTTGCTCCAACTAGGCTTTTCCTGGCTCTTTGCGGCGGTGGCGGTGGGACGGTGGAGTGGATAACTCTTCAGGGACTTGTGCACCCAGAAGCACTAGTATGAAGGGCACGTGGCATTGCCTCTATGGCTCTATCCCATTGTCGATCTCTCCTTCCGAAAGCAGAGCGGATAACTCTTCCTTTTTCTTTTCCTTATCAACTTCTTAATTTTTACTTTAATTTGGCTATTTTCTCTTGCTTTTTATAATTTGTTTTTTACTCTTTGGTGGATACAATTGCAGAGGTGGTGGAGTGAAGGGTGTTCGCTTGTCCTTATCCCAATTCAAAAGGACATATTGCGTTGGGCCTTAAGCCTTGTGGGCTTGGAGGAATTTTGTTATCCGTACGTACTCAACTAATTGGTTGGGCCTAGTTGGAGCATTTTGCTTTGTTTGTTTTCCAGGAAGCGGATGGACTTTCCTCAAACTTTGGAGACTTGGTGGGATTTGCTGTATTGCGGTCACTTGACAGCCACAGTAGGTTGGTCATTTACTTCTATCCTGAAAAGGGTTGAAGCAAAGACATGGATCTGGTCAATGCATTTGCAAGGATTTGCTGCTCTGCTTCAATTTTCAGCATGGTTAGTTCATGATATTGATCCTTTTAAGGAAAGAAATTATGATATTACCCATGTCGTTTAGGTATCATAGGGCAGCCCATGTCGTGGCAGGAAAGCCCTATATTGTTAGACCTGCAAAGGTCTTTTCATTTATGATTTGACCTGCAAAGATCATGTATATTGTTATATACTTCGTATCTGCTGTTCCCCTTTGGGGTATCTCTGGAAAAAAAAAAAAAAAGAGATCACTAGACTGGCTGAAATCAGTTCATCCATGTCTAAAAGGCAGGTGAAATGGGCTCATGTAAATAGGAAGTCTAACTAGATGACCCAATTTTTGGCCCATCTGACTCCTCAGTGGACCACACTTTTATCTGGGCTGATAGCCCATCGAGTCCTATTTGGAGGTAGTTAGAGGCTGAAAAAGCCCAAACTTATGATGAATCAATGATTTGCAGGGCTTTCTATATAAAAAAAGTCTTGTTGTGATAGAGCCAAGCCAACCAACCATGGAATCGAGACGGCGTTAGAACTGGCCATTTCGACGAAGGAGGTCCTTCCGCTGACGTCAACTCCCAGAAAATAGTGGCCTGCCGTGAGATTAATCCTATAACACAAGTTCAATTTTTAATATTTGATGATTAGCATAACTAACCGACATATGTTTTGGATTTTAGTACCCTATATATTTTACTTTCCAAAAAAAGTTCAATCTCTAATATTTGAGATTAATCCCTATAGATTTTAGCTCCAATATAACTGTGTGGGGACCTTGAGAGCGCGACGAGACGAACTGGAACTGAATGGGCCGCAAGATCCATTACCTTTAGCCTACAGCCCAAGTGACCAGCATCGTCATGAAGCCCACAATTTCCTTCTTTTTGAAGACCACACTTTTCTTCTTAAAGTTTTAGCGGCCGCCGGCCACTCCACGAACACTATTTTTTTTTTCCAAGTAATATCGAAATACAATAGTTCAATCTCTACCCGGACCCCAAAAAAGACCATTAATGCAACCACCCTACAAAATCAAAGGACGCTATCTCTACAGGGGACAGCAACAGGGCTTGTCTTGCCACTCTATGGGCAGCCCAGTTGGCAGTCCTCGGAACCGCACTAAAAACAATACACGAGGAACAGGACCTCACCAACTGAAAACAATCACGAAGCAAGGGCCCACCCACAGAATCTTCACAGCACCTCCCATCAAGTTGTCGAATGACTACTTCGCAATCTCCTTCAATGATGACGAGGGGAAGCCTTCGAGAGATGACAAGAGAGATGGCGTCCCTTGCAGCCAAAAGTTCAGCAAGATAAGGATTGGAAACTCCAGGGTGATGGAATCCCAAGGCCAAAAAGACTTGCCCATCTGATCCTCGAGCAACGAGTCCTGACGAGCAATCCGGGGCACGAACAGCGGCATCGAAATTAACCTTAATATAACCATCTGGGGGGCCAATCCAACTGACATGGCGAGGAGACGACTGTGGGCGGGGCAGAAAGGCTAGGGGCTGGGAGGAGACTGAGGAAAATTCTTGGACTTGGAAGAAGAATTGACGGGCAAGCGATGAGGCGAGTGGTTGAGTGAATTCAAAGACCACTTTATTTCTAGATTTCCAAATTCTCCAAAGAAGGCAAATACAGGGGAGATAGTGGATTTGGAAGTTCGCCGAGTTCATAACATGTCGCCACCAAATACCGAAGTTCTCAGTTGGGGCGGAAATAATTAAACAGCTTAAACCCACCATATGCCAGAGCTCGAGAGCAAGGGGACAATGGAGGAAGAGGTGCTCAATACTTTCCTTGCCAACCCAACATACTGGGCATCTAGCTCGACATCTTACTCCTCGAGATTTAAGGGCCGTCATGGTTGGCAGGATAACTCTCAGACATTGCCAAATAAAGATTTTAAGCTTAGGTGGAATGTCAAGAGACCACGTTTTTTTTCCAAAATGGAGGGTCAAAGATGGAAACTGTCGCTTTTTGGGTGAGAATTAATAAATTATCCAAGGCAAGATGATATCCTGTTTTGACTGAGTAGGTTCCATTTTTAGTGTAGTGCCACACTAACTTATCCTCTTGTTGAAGTATGGGAACTACCATGTTACGAATGATCCCGACTGATTTTTCTTCAAACCAATGTCTTAATCTAGGAATATGCCAACCTCGTCGATCTTCTGTGATGAAAAAGGACACCCTTGGGTTAAAATTAACTTCATGCCTCCTGAGGATAGGAGGGGATGGCTTATCTGCTAGTAGCCAATTATCTTTGAAGGCCTCCACTTTAGTACCATCACCTATCTGCCACCGCAGGCCTTGCACAAGCAGTTCTCTCCCAAATAAGATACTTCTCCAACCCCATGAAGGATTAGAGCCAATAGTGGCTTCCATAATCGTACTTCCATTGAAATATCTTCCTTTGTATATCCGACTAATGAGCGAGTTGGGATTAGTCCAAATACGCCAACAAAGTTTTGCAAGAAGAGCTTGATTGAAGGCCCTAAAGTCTCTGAATCCTAATCCTCCTTGAAATTTGCTTTGGGCTAAACCTTTCCAAGATATCCAATGAATTGGATGATCCAAGTTAGCAGTAGAGCCCCACCAGAACCTTGCCAATAATCCATTTAACCGCTTACAT